CCCTCTTTCCTTTGGCAGCGCAGACCGTTCTCACGCTGTGATATGCGGACTGCTCTCACTCTCCCTCTGTCCACCATGGGCTCACAGCTGGAGGTTCGATTGGGAAGTGGCCCATTTGAGACGGTGGTGAAACATGCCAAGTAGCACAATGCCTTCTCTACAGAGCCTGGCTCCGGATCTGTGTGTCCTATAGTGATGAACCGGGATAACTCTAGCTCTCCTGTCAGAAATGTGGCTGGGTTTCAAATAGAAATCTTCTGCTTAGCATTTAAGGTCCCCTATTATACTGTTTGTCATCAATATATTATAGGTCTCAGATATATACAGAACATGTCTCTGAAGTATTTGGCTCCAAACACCAAACAGATCATTGCAGCATTACCCATAATCCCCTCTGTTTCAGCCCTGTTTCAAAAGTGCTGATTCTCTGTCTGTTACTTTAGATGAAAATAAGGAGCCCTCCCCACGCCCCTCTGAGAGAGATTTGGTTAAAAAGAACACAATGGTGCTCTAGGAGGAGATTCAGGTGATAAGGTGGGGGGGGGGGTTACCTTGGTTGCTGATTGGCTAATGGTTACACAAGACAAAACATCGTTATGACATCATCAAGTGGCCCAAATCTGATCAGCTCATTTTCAGACAGGTTTTTATAAAAATGGATCAGGACAAAAAGAGAGAGAATCTTTGTTCCTGAAACTTTCAGAGTCTCTTTCCACAGAGGGGACACATGTTGATGTAGAAGAGACATGAAGAAGAGGGGACACATGTTGATGTAGAAGAGACATGAAGAAGAGGGGACACATGTTGATGTAGAAGAGACATGAAGAAGAGGGGACACATGTTGATGTAGAAGAGACATGAAGAAGAGGGGACACATGTTGATGTAGAAGAGACATGAAGAAGAGGGGACACATGTTGATGTAGAAGAGACATGAGAAGAGGGGACACATGTTGATGTAGAAGAGACATGAAGAAGAGGGGACACATGTTGATGTAGAAGAGACATGAAGAAGAGGGGACACTTTGTTCCTGAAACTTTCAGAGTCTCTTTACACAGAGGGGACACATGTTGATGTAGAAGAGACATGAAGAAGAGGGGACACATGTTGATGAAGAAGAGACATGAAGAAGAGGGGACACATGTTGATGTAGAAGAGACATGAAGAAGAGGGGACACATGTTGATGTAGAAGAGACATGAAGAAGTGGGGACACATGTTGATGTAGAAGAGACATGAAGAAGAGGGGACACATGTTGATGTAGAAGAGACATGAGAAGAGGGGACACATGTTGATGTAGAAGAGACATGAAGAAGAGGGACACATGTTGATGTAGAAGAGACATGAAGAAGTGGGGACACATGTTGATGTAGAAGAGACATGAAGAAGAGGGGACACATGTTGATGTAGAAGAGACATGAAGAAGAGGGGACACATGTTGATGTAGAAGAGACATGAAGAAGAGGGGACACATGTTGATGTAGAAGAGACATGAAGAAGAGGGGACACATGTTGATGTAGAAGAGACATGAAGAAGAGGGGACACATGTTGATGTAGAAGAGACATGAAGAAGAGGGGACACATGTTGATGTAGAGGGGACACGTGTTGATGTAGAAGAGACATGAAGAAGAGGGACACGTGTTGATGTAGAAGAGACATGAAGAAGAGGGGACACATGTTGATGTAGAAGAGACATGAAGAAGAGGGGACACATGTTGATGTAGAAGAGACATGAAGAAGAGGGGACACATGTTGATGTAGAAGAGACATGAAGAAGAGGGGACACATGTTGATGTAGAAGAGACATGAAGAAGAGGGGACACATGTTGATGTAGAAGAGACATGAAGAAGAGGGGACACATGTTGATGTAGAAGAGACATGAAGAAGAGGGGACACATGTTGATGTAGAAGAGACATGAAGAAGAGGGGACACATGTTGATGTAGAAGAGACATGAAGAATAGGGGACACATGTTGATGAGAAGACATGAAGAAGAGGGGACACATGTTGATGTAGAAGAGACATGAAGAAGGGGACACATGTTGATGTAGAAGAGACATGAAGAAGAGGGGACACATGTTGATGTAGAAGAGACATGAAGAAGAGGGGACACATGTTGATGTAGAAGAGACATGAAGAAGAGGGGACACATGTTGATGTAGAAGAGACATGAAGAAGAGGGGACACATGTTGATGTAGAAGAGACATGAAGAAGAGGGGACACATGTTGATGAAGAAGAGACATGGAGAAGTGGATTTTGCATAATAGGTGACCTTTAACAGCATTTCCTAATATGGAGTTGTTGGCAGAGGAAGAAAGAGAGGACACCATACTCTCCAAAGTCAAAAGTAAACAGTAAAAATAGAAAATCATGGGGTTGTCTTTGAAGAGGAATGTGAACTTCTGAGTTTAGTTTCTCTTCCTCTCCGTCTTGGATCCCGGATAAGCTTGAGAGAGATTGTGAATGCTGCAATGAGCGCTCGGTGTCAAAGGGGAGTTACAGCCTTCCTCACAGTTTCCTGTTCTATGATACATGCTTTCCTCTCTGGTTCATGCAGTTGATGGGTTGACAGGTATGAAAAGAATTAAATAAAGTAAGTGGAACCGAACACCAGGAAAGAAAAAAAGAACAACAAGCTAAAGTCAGGTCACTGGGGAGCAGAGGGAGCTGTGGTTAGTGGGAGAAACACTTCCACTGTGACACTGGAGATAGATGTGCTCTAATGTTAAGGATGACAGATGGATCGTTCTGCAGGGAAGAGGGTGTGGAGAATAGAAAAACAGATTTAAACCAGAAATATATCACTTTTTATAGGACTTTAAATGCAACAAATGACTGTTTTAATTGACTAAATACCTGTTTTTATTTTTTCGTTAATTGATTAATTGCTATTAATGGTTACTGAGACCTAAAGGTGACATCATTAATAGCTTGTTTGTCCAATAAGGTCAAAAACCCTTCAACTATTACATTAACAATGACAGAAAAGATACGATTATCAATCTCTCTGTATTAAATCATTTGGTATAATGTCTATTTCTATTATACTAAAAAGACCATTTAGTGAGAGAAAGTTTTCCTTTGTTCAGTGATTATGTTTAATTTGTTTTTGATGAGGGAAACAATTATCGTGCCAAATTTAGTTAATGTATTGTTTTATTTATGCCGGGTTTTGGTACGTGTCCTTGTGTTTAAACATTTACAAATGAAATGAGATCATTTGTTTCCAATAACAAAGAAAAACATGTGGATATTACTCAAAGCAAGGCAATGAATGTTTTGGCCATTGGTGCCAAATTGGTCCCCTGAATTTGAACGAGTATCAAATAACTATGAGTATTAAAATAATGACCCTATAGGCCAGGGGTAGGGAACCTTTTTCCTCTCAAGGGCCATTTCAATTTTTATAACATCCTCCGAGGGCCGTACAAATGATTGAACTCAACTTCTGCTTAAAAATACTAAAATCACAGCCCATTAATTTGGCCTTTCTGTCATGCTGTGCAAAGAAAAAGCAACCTCTTAATCCAGATATCTCACCATGACTTGCGTATGCATGCACGTGCACGGTGTGTAGAGATGTCCCGATCACGTGATCGGGGATCGGAGCCGATCACTTGATTTTCAAAAGATCGGAATTGGGAGAAAAAGATCGGGGATTGGGAATTTTTTTAATTTTTTTTAATGTTACAAAACAAAAATGACCATGTTCACGTCTTAAAGTCATCCTGAGGCCTTAGTTTTGGTTTAAAATTACACAACATCATGTATGTGTTGCTTCTTTTGGGCTTGTTTTCATAGACCTGGTTGCTTATTTCTCAGGGCGCAGTGTCTAATAGTAGCAGTAAGCTAACGAGAGGCTACGTTCAGCTGGTGCCTCGGGAGTCGGGACAGAGAATATATATATCCATGTTGGATAGAATGGGTAGTTGAGTACTGTCATTTAAATACAAAAATAACCTTAAGGGACAACTTGAATGCTTTTTTCCTTTTCTTTCTCTTAATGCATTGCATAAAGATCGGATCGGGAAAAATCGGTATCGGCAGATTGTCAAAATCAAATGATCGGAATCATCGGGAGCAAAAAAGGTGATCGGGACATCCCTAACGGCGTGGCATGACCACCAAAACAGAAAGATATGGACACAAGATGTGTGCAAATGTGTTTAGTTTCCTATCCATGTGAACATGATTTAAGTGGGGGGGTGGACCTCACCTAGGGGGGTCCGGGGGGCATGCTCACCCGGGAAGATTTTTAAATGTTGAAGTTAAAAGCATCAATCTGGAGCAACATTAAGAGCTCTATGGATACATCCTCTCACCCCATATGAAACAGAACTGTAAGCAGATTTTCTTTTTCTTTATATATAACTGTATTTACTTTTGTGTTGTTTGCGCTGTAACCAAATAATTCCTCTTGAATACGCCAACAGAGTGACTGATAATTTTAAATGTTGCACACGCAACTAAACAACATAAAAATCCCTCTTGATGGGAGACATTCAACCAGATTTAAACAAATGACTCAAAGAAATGTTAAGAAACTCTGACAAAGAACATATTTTGGCTTCACTCTCGGAGGGCAGAGAAGAAGCATTGCCTCCATTAATCATTAACCATGTTGAGATAATATGTACACAAAAGGGAGAAGTGAAAAGGGAGAACTTAAATGGTACAAAGAGATGTAAAACCATTAGAGCCCCGGCTTCAAAAGCTCTCCAATAGGTGAGTGGCCTGCTGTCAAATTACACCCTCACAAAGGAGCCGGTGGAATAAGGCCATTTACACCCCGGTGAAAAAGGAGAAGCCATAAATTGTGCAGATGGATGGCTGTGGAGACATTCTTGGGAGTAGTAAATTGTTCTGCCTTTTTAACTGCCGTCAGAAAATTCCTCGTACAAGAGGGGCCGTAAAGTCGAAAAAAGACAAGGAGTCAATGGGCGTGATGGAGGGAGAAGAAGTCCCACAACGTGTTTTTAAAAATCCCATTACTTACCCACAGTTGACCCAGGCGATCGTCCCCTGGCCCTTCACTGTCTGGGCCACGTCGGATAGCAGTTTCAGGTGAGAGTCCCCTGATGTAGCTGCAGACACAGAGAATAAACCACGGTCAGCTTTGTCACCAAAACCGGTCAATAGCTCAGGAGAAAGCTGGCGGACACAGAGGAACACTGTCATGTCCGAACGAGACGAGGGGGGGGTTGAGTTACAGTGAAGCTCGCTGTCTTACTAAAAGGCCCGAGTACAGAAGAAAGAGATCACTGAGACTGGGATGGAAGAGGGGTTTCCAATAGCTTGATGGGTTCAGGGAGGAGGTTTAAGTTACATTAGCTTTCAACGTGGTACAATAGTGTGGCTAAGCAGGGGATGGGAGGATTATATTTTGGGGGCACAAAGACTTCTGGAGCACACCGACTGTTCGGATAACGGAGGAAGCACAGCAGGTGTGTTTTGGGGATCTGGAGTTTGTACCTGCTGCATGCTGCTTCCCACCATATCCTAAGACATGATGAACACGAGTGTGAACTCATTCATGGACCACATGGAGGGTTTATAATCACTGGAGACTTGCACAATGCACTGTGTCAGAGAGGAGACATGGCTGACTTTGCTTTGTGTTAGGAAAGAGGAGAAACTAGTGTAATAAACTGTACCAGCTTCAACAACAACACACGGTTATATTAGTGATTTCCATCAGATATGGCAAGCGAAGTAGATTCCCGCGAGTTAAGTAAACAACGTGTAGTCCTTGTGTAATACAATACATCATTAATATACTCCCCCCCCCCCCCCCGAAACCAAATGTGTTTTATTCACTGCAAGAGAACAATTCCTCCCTGAGCTCCAGGCTATATTTAGACCTGGGGGCACTGACATGACTCCCCAGGGTCTCGCTCTGTAACAAAAACATCTGGCAGTTCAGGATCAGTTACTGTATAACCATGTATGGAGCAGATTATGGCTGGTGGAATTTCAAATATGCTCACTTGGGGCTGGGCAATATGACCCAACGTTTCTATTGCATTAAAGCTAATTTCATCTCTTGATCAAAAATGTTCAACAGGTACAGTATAGCATGTTTTGTGGAAATTCAATATACAAGTATTCTCTATGTTTTATTTACTGTTTATTGCAATATAATTGATACAGCAAAATATATATGATAGATGTTTTAATATCATATTTAGAATGGTGCAGGAATGAGGTGCTGTTTACACGAGAACGCAAACGGTTGTATCCGCTACTTTTCTCTCGCATATAGCCCGTTCGTTCACACGAGGCCGTAACGGAAACGCGGAAACGGACCCCGCAAACGATAACGGGTCCCAAGGTGGATAGATCTGCAAACGGAACGCTCTGGGGGGTCAAACGGCTCAGTGTGTACGCCCTATACGATCATTTCCTGATAACGATGAAGCCATAGCCCCGCCTCTCCCGCTCCCTGCTGTAGCATGGTCAGTAGCTACTGTCAGTAGCTACTGACCAGGCTACAGATGTTAGTGCAAAATCTATAGCTCCTCTACCACAACCATCAGCAACAAGTGTACATGGAGAATTACATGAACTACATGTTGCTAAATCCACCGCGGGGCATAAACAGAAGGGCAACCATGGCAACCATGCTCGGGGGTCTTCTTCGCTGCCTTTGGTGTATTTTGTGGGGCCACTTACAGGCCCTGCATATGTAGTACAGCGTCTCCAGCGCTCCCGAGCGGTCTCGTGTGAACGGAAGACTTTTTTGATATCGTATTCGGTTCGTTTCGTATGCGTTTGCGTGTAAATGGGGTCCGAGTCTTAAAACCCGGAAATTAATTCGCATTTTTATCACTTCCCTTGTCTTTTAGGTCAACGTTTGTTCGAAAAGTTAAATGCCAAAAAATAAGGTCTGTGGTTAACACAAGCTGAAGAGATTTAAAACACGTCAGTAAATACTCCACTGGTGAATTTCTGAAGCTTTGAACGTGTCATAAAAACCAACAAGTGACTAAATGAGACTACTAAACGTCTTCACACCGAACATTAGCGACCTTTAGCTTAGCGGTGGTGACGTGAAGTCATGTGACCGTGCTGTAGTTTGTTTATAGCTAGTTATTTATTTTACAAAAAGCGTAATAGTGGTTTTAATATGTAGAGATGATCCTGTTGAATAAAACGTGTCAGTATGGTAAACGCCTGTTTTTCAGAGAGCTTATTTTCTGCAATATTCCAACATCTAATGTAAAAATACCATTGCTTTTAGTCCAATAAGCGCTTGCGATGCTAGCTTTCGGGTTAGCCTGCTGCACCACTCTTTAGCATCTATTGCTACGCTCACTTTTAAAACTTGATGTCCTCAAAACAAAGTAAAACTCACTGACTGTGACTTACTGCAGAGGGCCAGAGGCTGGTGATGGGCAAGAACTGTGCAATAGTGTTTTTTACTGAATGTAATGTTGCTTGAAGTGGTCAGATAATTGGCTGGTGAGGAAGACATTAAACCAGCGTGGACGAAAACGTGCAAAAGCAGAGGAGCCTCTGAGAGCATCTCAGTGATGCTGCAACCAGTGATCAATCAGAGCCGGCTCGATACTGGAAGCCTTTATCCAATGACCTCGCTGATGTGGGACATGAATAATAAAACAAATACATCTTTGGCTGTGGGGCTCTCAGAGTCCTGTGTAATTTATTGAGGCATGAGAGGCTCTTTTAAATGGAAAATTAGTAATTTCTAGCAGCTCCATCAACAAGCCTGCTGAGTGCAGTCTTCCGAGAACTATGCAAATGGAATAGAAATCTACCGAAAGGGTTCCCTAATGTTTCGGAAGAAGACGCTGCTTTAAAGCTCTGTTTGACTGCATAAAGTGTTTTTTTTCTATTTAACGCTTACTCTCTAATTCTGTGAGATAAGTGTTTTCTAAGTTCATTACGGAGATAAAACCCTGAGATCTCCCCCTTTAGAGCACGCTGCAGGCTACATCTGCACAGAACATTAATTTTAAATATATTCGAAGATACTGGGGTAAAATGTTTTTTAATCTGTTGTATCAGATTTGGGCAAAGGGCCACGGTGCAATTGCATTTCCTTATTACAGAATTAATTGAGTGTGAAAAATTGGGACATACCAATTGTTGGGGAAATAATTTCTAAGGCCCATAGCTTTGACCCAGTTTATCAGTTCTGTCCTGACTGAGCACACGCACCTGTCACCTTGGCTGCTGTGCTCTCAGTGTTCTGTCTCCCTGTTCCTGCCTGTTAGCGTCAGCTGATAGAGGTGTTATCATTCTATCTTGTTCTGCTCAATGTTGATTATTCTCTCTGAACTAGCTAAATACACGGGTCTGGGGGTTCTTCAGAATCGATTGTGGCATCTCAACCGTGTGGTCAACTCGTGGCCCGACATGTCTTGTGAATTCTCCGGCCAAAGCTCCAAATAAACCGTCAGTGTTTGTCATCAAAGCTCCAGCTCTCCTCGTGTCTCTCTGAGTCCTGACTCCCATTGCTTCAGAAGTTTCCCCCACACCAATGATGACAATGACATCTATGGCTATTACTTTCTCTTACACTTGCTATTTGATTGTGTATTGTGTGCATAAGGTAGGAATTATTGGGATAATGTTGCATTTATGCTACTACACATAATTAAAGGTGGGGTAGGTAAGTTTGAGAAACCGGCTCGAGATCGCTAGAATTTGAAAATACACAACCGGAGAAAATCTGCCACTTCCTTACAGAGCCCCTCCTCCAACACACACGAACGTGCACATGACCAATGAGGGCACGAGATAAGTTTGTGCACAGATGGAAGGCTGACAGGCAGGTAGGCCATCCAGTTATTTTAGCCGGGCCGGCTCAGATGATTGGTCGTGCTTTTTACAGTACTACGGCTTCCACAGATGATATTTTTTTATGGATTTTTGTCAAAGCACTTCAGATATTCATTGCTATCAGGATGTTAAGAGCATTCCATGGAATATAACAACAAGTGTATCTCGAGCCGGTTTCTCAAACGTACCTACCCCACCTTTAAAGGAAATGGCATTAAGATGTGAAATTATCTGCAACTTGTTTCAGTTCTCTAAATCAAGATGTCGGACAAAACATATAATGTGGGTTCGAGACAGTCAAAAGTTTGTATTTGTAAGTGTGCAATCATTATTTTCTGTTGTCACAAATTATTTATTAATGACACATTGAAGCTGTTTGGATGTCTTTTAAACGTAGCTAAAGGCTTTATTGGTGACGGCTGCTAACCAAGTACCTAAAAATGTAAATTAATTGTGTTTAATAATGCACGTGTACAAGTTCATAATGCATCAGCACTTAAAGCTTGATTTGCTTATCAATAAAATAAGTTGACAATTGTGATTTTTGCATTAAAAAAAGACACAAAATGCATCTTTAAATATATACAGGGTTCATACACTTTTTCACCAATGATTTTCAATGACTTTTCCATGACCTTTACCTAATTTTCCATGACCAAAAAAATTACTCTTTCTCAGCGGTACCACTGAAAATGGTTTATTTTAACATGGAACAGGAAAATAAGGTCTGCATATGAAACATGTTGTGCCTATCTAAAACAAATCAAATAGGCTTACTAGCTTCTACACGCTGAAGCAACTCAAATCTCTCACCAGCAAACTACCTCGTCAGTTAAATGCCATTTTACGTTTCATTACTATACGATACAGTATTTCGGGGATTAGATAAAATATAAATTATATTTTATGCAACTTTAGTTACATTTCCATGACTTTTCCAAAACTTTGGGAAAATTATTGTTTTCCATAACTTTTCCAGGGCCTGGAATTAGCATTTTGAATTTCCATGACTTTTCCAGGTTTTTAATGACCGTAAGAACCCTGAATATCATATATTTTGTCTGTGAAATATTAGATATGACAAGTGTTAATTGGTTTTTCCAACGACCTCTACAGTGACAAGCTGTATAAAAGTCATTAAGATAATAAGCATTTTCTATGATTACTGTACATTTTAACGGGTTTGACCTTATTTTAATGGGTGGGGTGCCAGTCAGAAACAAGTCTGACAAATAATAGTCAAAAAAGGAACACAAATAGTTAAGTCAAACGATACACAAAGTCATTCAATAATCCAGCACATGAACCGCAATGCAGTACAAAACTAATCACCTTTTCAGTTATATTTCATTGCAATATAACACACACAGATAGATATATATAGTTCAATCCAGTTTATTAGAATCCAGTTGGATGTTCTCTCCTCCCTTGATAGAAACACGGAGGCTAAACCAAACATGCATGCTGCTAAACATGAGATCATGTTAGATGTGGAAGTGTGTGTTCTCTGACCTGTCTTGGTGTACGCCACCAGGACGTTGGTTCTCGTCCTCAGAAGCTTCTTGAAGTCTTTGTGGTCGCTGACCTTCTCTATGAGAGGAGACACCTTCAGCGCCTCGAGCACCGGCAGCAGCCACACCTGAGGAAACACAAAAACACAATCATTTATGATGCTGTGCAATAGCTGCCCACTGCTCCTGGTACTAGGATGGGTTAAAGCAGAGAACACATGTCACGGTGTGCTCTGCATGTGTGACCATTAAAGAGGGTTTCATTCCTCCAATTCTATTCTATATGTTGGCAAAGTATAGAAAGCTGACATTAGATGGATTGATGAATCTAATTTTGTTTGAGGAGCTCAATATCACACATTAGTTGCTTTACAGCTTCAACACCCTAGGGCTGTGCGATTATGGCAAAAATCATAATCACGATTATTTGGGTCAATAATTGATATCACGATTATTAAATACGATTATTCATTGACTTTGAAAAAATCAATTTATTGAACTTTAAAGCAAATACAAATAATAATTTGAACAGTATCTTTTTAACTGTTGATTACCCTGAACGTATAATTCAACTGAAAAACCAATACAAAAATAAATAAAATAAATGATACACTTAAAGGTAGGGTAGGTAAGTTTGAGAAACCAGTTCGAGTGCGCTAGAATTTGAAAATACACAGCCGAAAAAAATCTGCCACTTCCTTACAGAGCCCCTCCTCCAACACACACGAACGCGCACATGACCAATGAGGGCACGAGATAAGTTTGTGCACAGATGGAAGGCTGACAGGCAGGTAGGCCATCCAGTTATTTTAGCCGGGCCGGCTCAGATGATTGGTCGTGCTTTTTACAGTACTACAGCTTCCACAGATGATATTTCTTTATGGATTTTTTGTCAAAGCACTTCAGATATTCATTGCTATCGGGATGTTAAGAGCATTCCATGGAATATAACAAAAAGTGTATCTCGAGCCGGTTTCTCAAACTTACCTACCCCACCTTTAAATAAATAATATCAAAATAATAAATACCAATAAACAAGATCAACAAATATTTTGGAGCGCACTTCCCCAAGCTACTAAACATATATAAATATGATAAATACAAATAAATGAGACCAAAATTAATTAGATCAAATATGTTGCAGTGCACGGTCACACCCTAGCAAAGCAAAATAATTGTTTTTTTCGATTATGTTGTTTTCGTAATTGTGGCAGGCCAACATCGTAATCGATTAAAATAAGATTAATTGCACAGCCCTACAACACCCTCTGTCCGTAGACCCTGCACATATACGGAAACAATCTCCAAAAAGGAAAAGGAAGTGTTTCTTTTCACCCTGAAGTGCCAGGATCTGAAAAAGCTCACATTTTTAGCTGATTTCTGTTAAACATTGCTGTTATTCTCCCCGTCAAAATGTTAGTTGTAATAAACCTTCACAGGCCACCGGGAGGGTTTAGACTTTAAGACTTGTTATGAAATTAAAATGTCAAAGCTATGAGGGGTATCAGTTAGATCTAAGTGAAAGAGTTTGATGCAGACCTACACTCTTATAGCACTGACTGCAGTAGTCCAGTAGTATTGTTATATTTTCTCTGAAGTGGAAAGCTATAGGAGAGCTTCAACTTGGACTGAACTATGAATCGATTTTAAATTGAAATCGTAATTTGAAATGATGCAATTATCAAATCGCAAAGCCTGCAATTTTTTTCTTCTTGTGTGTCAGTCATCCACACCAATCAGAAGTGCTGTGCTCCACATGTACCAGCCATTGTTAACCAATCAGAAGTGGCCCATGATAGAAGGTGATAGACAGATTGATCCAATCACCTGCCAAGTATTTTTGAAAGTGCCTGCCTTTTCCAAATGGCTTCCAGTGGAGCTTTCCTAGATGGTTTGGTGAAACAAAGCATCTGAGTCAGGTTAGTAATGCTCCATCACATGTTTCACATCTATTACAGGGTGAATCTGAAACTGAAGCTTGACTTTAAAGCAACCCAACGGACGTTTCATGTAAGTTTAGTTCTTTCACTCGTAGCTCGGGCTGCGGGGGTGCTAGAGACGGGAGCACGTTGATACGACCTTCCTAGCCGGAGATATGGCCGCATTTCACAATAAACTTCCGTTGGGTCGCTAAAAACAAATATCGCAACCGCAATTGTTTCCCCTAATTGTGCAGTCCAAGCTTCAACACAGCTTTTATATGGAAACTGATTTATTTTCCCATGGCTCAAAGGAGACAGGATGTTGCCTTCAGTGTGGACCTGTGCTAAAGGTGGCTTCAAAGTAAGCAACAGATGGGTGCATCTGCTTCATTAGTCCGAATGGTGCATTCGACTTTCCCAAACGCTGGTAGTTGGGCTAATGGTGTGTAGCACCTAATATGGGTAACAAAGCCCATATTGAGAAGCTTGCACTTTAATCAAAGAGCACTAAAAAAAAAACACAAGACTGATTACACCGGAGCCATATGAAGTGAATTCTCTGCATTCTAATGGTCTCCGTGCCATCACCATTCATTAAAAAGCTCTTTGTTTCTGCCTACGGAGGACTAAATTAGACACAAAACATCGTCTGCTCGCTCAGCGGATCCTTCCTGATGAGTGATATCACCTGGAATGAAAACAAGCACCTGTCAGGCTCATTTTCTCATTTTAATTCTCAACTGGGTGCTCTCCTGAGGGAGGCTGATGGGAATCTTAAAGAAGGACACTTTGCACACCAGTACACTTCTAAATGAGCATAGACGAGACAAAGTGCTTAGACAAAAGGATGAACAGAGACCTTGTGTTTCATACAAACAGATACAATATGCTCGAGGCATTTTATTGTGTTGATCTCCATTTATTTTGTCACTCGATGATGTCAGTGCATGAGGCCGATTAGCTTTATGTGAAGACAAGATAAACACAAGCTGTGTCACTGTTTGTTTTGAGACCTATGAAAATCACACTGAGGGGGGGGGGGGGGGGGGGGGGGGGGGGGGGGGGGGGGGGGGGAGGGGTAATGAGGGTGGCTCAGTGACACATGTCCTGTATAGGTGGGCATTTAGAGAGCGTGAGGAAGATTAGGAAATGATTGCAGGCTGTCTTATTGCCTCAGCCCAGAAGATGTGTTTTGTTTGGCAGCAACAAACTGGATTACTGAAAAACGACACGCCTGATTCTGATGTAACTTTGAGAGATGCTGGTCAGTTTCTCTGGCAGTGGCTCAGTCAGTAGGGGGCTTGGACCGGGAGCTGTAGGGTCGCCGGTTCAAGTCCCCGACCAGACCTAAAATATGGAGTGTGGACTGCTACTTGGAGAGGTCCCAGTTCACCAGTTCGCCCTTGAGCAAGGCACCGGACACCCCCCTTCCCCCCCCCCCCCCTCCCATTGCTCCCCAGGCGCTGTGCAATAGCTGCCCACTGCTCCTCGTACTAGACCCCTGGTACTAGGATGGGTTAAATGCAGAGAACACATTTCACTGTGTGTGCTGTGTGCTCTGCATGTGGGACCATTAGAGAGGGTTGCATCCCTCCCAATTCTTCTTCCATTCTCTGGAAGGATGCTTAAAGGAATCCTCAGATCAAAACCTCCATTAGGCTTGCAAGATGGCTGAAATGTATAGCGTGCTAATTCACAGAAGTCAACATATCTACCACCACTCCAACAGGACTGTCAACCGTTAATCCATCCATGTTAAGTATGTTCCAATAAATCATGTTCACAAAAGCATGCTTCTTCCAGTGGGGCTTTGGTACTATGAGGAGTGTTTTGAACAGATTTTAAGGACAATTTGACACTCTTATAGGCAACACTCTGGCCTAACTTTGAAATACATCATAACCATTATAAATCCAACATGCACACAGCTGCCAACTACTGCATAAGATCATCACAAACAAACCAGAGCCAGGTTTAAGGAGTGTAATGATGGATTTTTCAGACAGGCACTTTGATTTTTTTGGGGGGTTTGCCCTTTCCCATGGTGTGTTATATACGTTTTTGCATGTAAATGGTCTGCAAAGGCTAAAATCCCTGTGTCCCCTCCAGAGGAATGAAAACATCTTCATCAAGGGAATATTTACTTTGACATAGATACATATCTGCTTGCCATACAACTGATTTATTTGAGCAAAATGCCAACTCTACACAAACTAAGTGTAAATAGACTATTGAGTTCTCTACCGTCACGGTTTCTTAGAAGTATTGATTGTGTTTTGAACAGTGACCGTAGACGGCATACTGTATTGAACACATTGTAAACATACCGACGGTCATTCACGGCTTTAAAAAACAACAACACGGGTAATAACTTAACGTTAATGTGCAAACAGACACTAAATACTTCCTGCAGCATGACATTTTTTTAACCTACACATACAGTCGGGGCAGCTGAACAACATGTATGCTGTTGTAAAGCCAACACTTCTCATGGTTGTGATAAAGAGTGATTATTCTACTAACTAAGCATCGTCACGTTACAATATCAATAACTTGACTTCACTGACGGCTGTCCTACAAAGAGTTTTAAATGACAGATTCAGAAGCAGCACTACTGCTAAACTGGAGTTTGTTTTTTTACAATGTAACACACAAGCAGCTAAAATGGAGAACTTGAATGAAGCAGGGAAGTGCATTTCGGTGATATGAAGGATGGAAGTAACTAAATTAATTGATAGTAAAAATGTGCTGTGACGAGGATTTATTTCCATGTCTCCGAGTTATCTCCTCGCGTGTTGCTGCTATCTCATCTTCTGCTCGCTTGTACGATTCATTTTTAAACTTGAACTGCAAATGATTAATGTGAGAAAGTGATGATAAACCACCTTTTTATCAGATCACGGCAGTGTTAATAAAAACACTTGTATAGTTATCTCTCAATAGTTCAGTGGAAATGAAATTCATCACATGGATTTTTCGGAAACTTTCCTCTCTCAAAAATACATATTATTCCCATTTGTGTATTTTAGGTGTTAATACAACATGTTTACACATTTCTGCTCGTATTCGAAGCTCTTTCTGCATTAAATGTTTCCTTTAAAGGGGACCTATCATGCAAAATGCACTTTTGTACGTCTTTTCTACATGAATATGTGTCCCCGGTGTTCCAGGGAACTCACCAAGTGTCAGAAACACAACCCTCTCTATTTTCCTCCATCCAACCCAAATCTCTAAAAAAGGGGCTGCAACGGATCTGATAAAAACTGATCCAGATTTGAACACTGTCCTGACGTCAGGACGGTGGCGCTACGGCTATTGGGCCAACTCCACTCAATCAGGAGGAGACAGCCACGGCCATTGCCGTTCGAAAGCGCTGGAGACGCTGTAGTACATATGCCAGGCCTGTAGGTGGTGCTGTTCTCACTGAATCTGCCCAGAGCTAGAAATTGTCAAATTGAGCAAAATGAGGCATGGCTAAAATGCATGATCTGTTTGGTATTTTGAAGAAAAAAAAAGTATAAATATGCCTTATATAGGTATGGTCCTACACTATATTATTCAAATATAGCATGATAGGTCCACTTTAAAGAGACAACAGCCTTCAAATCTTGGCCAGGACATAGACAAAACAAGTTTTTAACAACTATTCCTCGCTACAATTTGAGTAGATTCTGATTTTTGTGACTTAAACAGGCCATTAGAAAAACATTTACATTTTCAACATGGTAAAAATACCAATATTTATACTAAACAATCTAAGAAAAGAGACCAAAAGTAGGCCAGTGTTTCCATTATTTCACCATCTCCTGTAATGACATGATACAAACTCTGAAGACACAATTCAACAGCTCCACAGTCAGCTTTCAAATCTGAAGCATCAACGTCTCACACAGACTGAACATTATGACCTTAGAGAAGGTGGGATTCATCGCAGAGTTATTCTATCAGACGTACGTGTGCCTCTTAAACTGGGTTTTACACCGATACGTGTGATAAGCCAATTGAATCTCATACGTATTGCCGGCTCACAACATTAAAAGGCAAGAGTTCATTAAAAATGACCTTGTTGAATTCAGCGTTTCCACCGTGATCAAAACATGAGCTCTGTTCAAATGCCACATAATCTGCGCTCACTATCAGACATCAGCTTAAATGTCAACTGGCATGAACCAAGTGTGAACCTCTGAATCCATTTTCATAACTGTAATCTACCTGAAACACTTTCATCATCGATCAAACGGGAACCATAGATGGGGTAAAGCTTTTTGATAACATGACTCAAACTGAGAATAAAATATATCAGTACTTTATTCATCCGCCTTTCTTATTTGCCATAAAGGTAAGTCCCGTTACGTATATAGCTGAACAACATATATGCTGTTGTAAAGCCAACACTTCTCATGGTTGTGATAAAGAGTGATTATTCTACCAAGTAAGGATAGACACGTCATGTTACAATAATATAAATAACTTCACTGTGCTGACAGCTGTCCTACAAAGAGTTATAAATGACAGATTCAGAAGCAGCACTACTGCCTTATTTGCCATAAAGGTATGTCCCGTGCTGTAAAACTGTGACTCAATAAGCAGCAGGTGATTAGCCCCTTGCCTACGAGCCCACACCCTCCATCTGGTGTCACTAATCTGCTTCAGAAATGGCATCTAGTTCTAAGGGGCAGTACTGAGTCAGCACAAATCACACCAGAGTTTATCAGGCACTTGCCTCAGGTTTCCTGGGCCTAATGAGCCGTACAGGTGTGTGGACGGGCTGATTGTAAGGACACAGCATCCGATACCACATGCAAACTGATGATCTAGAGAAGCTTCTTAGCTTTCAAATGAGCAGAGGAACAGTCAATTAGCAGTTTTGGCATCTATTACACTTCAGATAGTATCAATGGAAGACAGGGAAGACGATTAGCGTGCTAACATGCTACCAAACTGCTTCTGTTGTGGGATCAAACTGATGCGGATCCAACCTTTTTTACGATTTCAAAATGCTTTCTAATAACTATCCACTATATCAGATATGAAACATTCACTGGTCCAAGCTTTTCTGTTCAATATTATTTCAAAAAGATCATTTGGGTTTTTTCTCGACTGTTGTTCGGACAACATTGAAACAAATCACCTTGACTCTAAGGAATTGTAATGAAGATGTATCATAGGTGTCAGTGCCTACATTGTTAAGATAACTTCCCAACGTAAACAGATTTTTAAAAAGGCATTAATTGGAGTGTGGGTGGTCATTTCCCCAAAAAACTTTTCTTTTAGATAAACAGGGAAGTAGAATCTGTTTTTGGGGAGCAAATCAATAAGGGCCACTCCCCATGGCTGATAACCTTACTTATTATGGGAATCTGGTAACAACATGTCACTGAAAATAGGTCGGGTCAAACACATTGATTATTCCTGGCCGAAAAAACATTTAGAGTTTACCCGCCATGGGCAACAGATAAATTGTTAAGTGTGTGTGTAGAAAGTTTGGATTGAATTGTTTTGACAGCAGACCTCCACCACCCAGACAGATGACCTCTAAGTGCTGCAGTGGTTTGTAGCCTCCTTTGTGAATCACACACACACCACCACACACACACACCACACACACCACACCACACACACACACACACACACACACACCACACACCACACACACACACACACACACCCACAACACACACACACACACACACACACACACACACCACACACACACACCACACACACACAACCACACACCCACACCCACACACACACACACACACACCACACACACAACACACACACACACACACACCACACACACCACACACCACACACACACACACCACACACACCACACACCACACACACACCAACCACACCACACACACACACACACACACTTTTTTTGCCAACCAAAAGTGCCAAAATGACTAATTTTACAATGCAATAAAATACCATATCCGCACACAATACAACAATACATACACATGTTTTGAGAGAATCCTCAACATCCAGACAAGGCAATCACCAAATATGAAATATGATAACTTGACCTAAGGTTATGTTACCCGGTAAGTCATTTTACTACACCGTGTATTTGGTGTGGCTGTACAAACAAAAGCTGCTACTCAGCATGTTAACCTTGTCACCATTTCTTTTGACAGCCTGTCAGTTTTGGCACGGTACCAACATGTCAAACCGTGACACTGTACACACACACACACCCAAGATCCACCCATGTTTGCAGTGACTGTACTGCAACAGGAAGCTGGACAGGAGACGGCCTGGTTTATACTCATGTGACAATTGAATTTATAGGGAACACTTTACAATATGAAAGAAGTATTTCTTGATGTACTTGATTTGATTCAGCTATGCATTCCTAATACATTGGCCACTGAGAAGCACATTGAATGGATCTACTTGAAAGTGGTTTAGATATAATCTTTAAATGAGGGATAAGATCAAGGAATATTATAAGTGGACGGTGTGTTTAGAATAATTACTGAGGACTGTTTAATTTGTATGGAGACAGGTATGTAGCATAAAGTACAACATAATACCAAAGAAACCCGCTAATAGTCAAGTTTTGTTGTGAACTTTTTCCTGAATTGAAGATACAACTCTTCCCAACACTAAAGAAAATAGACACAAAATAAAACTAACACAATATTCATAGAGCTTTTACTTAAGTTATCAGAAAAAACCAAACATGTGAATAAAATATTTGTGTTTTGGACTGGGGCAATTTGAAAACATAACTTAGTTTAGACTTTGCAAATTTGCATATGCATTTTCATTATCAGATAAGATGAAGGCACAATACAACAGCTGCAGCTCTGTTCACTTCTGAATCATATTTGCAAATGACCACTATATTTCCATGCAGTTAAGATTTGCACTGACTAACCAATTCACTTCTAACAGTCACATGACATGGAGGATACTATACTTCTTCCAAAGGGCACTTCTGTTAAGGACAGAAACTAGTACAACCCAACAGAGAGTAGCAGAAACTTTTGAACTTTCAATTCCCTTTACAAACTCAGCTGGCTGAACCGATCAGTTTCTGTGAAAATGAGTTATGCCGTGGTATTAACACTAAGCTACCGAGTGAATGAAACTAAGAAGAGATACACTTTAAAGATGGTATGCTGAGATAAAGAGAACGTTTATCAGGTCTGGAAAACGTTAACCAACTAAGTAGGTTTACAGTACTTTGAGTTACTTGTACTTGACTTAAGTATTTCCATTGTTTACTACTTTCTTCTACTCCATTACAATTCAGAGGTAAATATTGTACTTTTACTCCACAACATTGATGCAAGTCCTTTAGTTACTTATTTCATTAATAATGAAAAACAATATAATCACAACACCTAAGAATACTTTTTTCACCTTTACCAGTTTGATAAACACATTAATGCATCAATAATTATAACCAAAACATATAATATATTATTCTTAAATGGGACAATCTGCATAATGAGTACTTTTAGTACTTTAAGTATATGTTGATGCCAATACTTGGGTACTTTTACTTAGGTACAAGATCTGAGTACTTCAACCACCTCTGATTAAGCTGAGAATACTACTGTACTTTATATTATTCTGAAATGGGCCATTGTGCAGAATGAGTACTTTTACTTGAGTAACATTTTGAATACAGGTTTTTTTTAATTTGTAACAGAGTATTCCTACACTCTGGTACGTATATGTACAAGATATGAGTACTTCTCCCCCCTCTGGAGTTATATGCTACCGAGTGAATGAAAGTAAACATGGAGTTAAGCTGAGGTAAAGATAAGTTCCTCAGGTCTGTTGGTGTTACCGAGTTCCCTGGACGGTCTGGTTCTCACAGGGGAGGGACCGGGCACACAGGCGACCGTTGGCCAGGAAAACCCCGCTTAATGTGGGCAGCTACATTTCAAATCCCGGTGACTTTACCACAACAACCGCACAGCCCTCAAAGCATTACTACATTGTTTCCAAGTTCAGTCAAGGGCTGTCAACTTTACCTCCTGCACGGACAGGCTATGGAGACGGATTTCTACTGTCGGTTTTCCCTCCTTAACGCTTCTTACCGGACACAAATCCCTCCGCCATGTGCATGCAGGCACCGAACAGCCCTTACCGTTTACCGGACACACACACCGGGGTTTGTTTGACTCACCAGCAGCACCAACATGAACATTTTCTCCTCTCATCCGACTCCCGTGGCGCTGGTTCCAAGAGGCCATGATGCCGTTGCCACGTCTGGATACGCAGGCGCAATCGCTTTTTCCACGGATTCTTGGGCACGGCGCAAGGCTTCGTGGGAAATGTAGTTGTTGTGGGGAAGATTCGGCGGGAGGTGTTCCACCCACCTGGCGAGTGCAATACGGGATAGCAAATGAGTCAGAGGTGGGAGAAGTACTCAGATCTTGTACTTGGGTAACTTGTGTGCTTTATTCTATTTTATTGTATGTTTTTATTGTGTTTTTATTGTTTATTGTGTTTTTCACTATGTAGGCTTTTGTGTTTTTAGCACGTCTTTATTCGTATGATGTTTTAATGCTTTGTCAATGTCTGTGAAAAGCGCTTTATAAATAAATTGTACTTACTTACTTACATACTTACTTACCTACTTACTTATTTACTTACTTCATTAAAAGTAGAAGTACCAAAGTGCAGGAATACTCTGTTACAAGTAAAAGTCCTGCATTCAAAATGTTACTCAAGTAAAGTACAAACGTATTAGCTTCAACATATAAGTAACAAAAGTACTCATTATGCATATTGGCCTAAGATAGATAGATAGATAGATAGATAGATAGATAGATAGATAGATAGATGGATGGATGGATGGATAGATAGATATAGATAGATGGATGGATGGATGGATGGATGGATGGATGGATGGTGGATGTATAGAGATTTTCCTATCAATAAAATCATTGTTGATCATAAATATCTTGGTTTGTTTTTTTCTAAGGTGCATTGTTCTGGTGTCTTGCATAATAAACAACCATCATCATTGATATTTATTCTCTCCTTTACTTATTTGCATTGCATTTGATGTTGAGGTAATCCAGAAGTAAAATAAAGTAATCAGGTTGTATGTTATACGTGGATTGGTTTCTGATGACTTTTTTCTAAAGGTAGTAATTGTAACAGATTACATGTTAAGTAGCCAAGTAGCCCTCTCAACCCTGCATGTTCTATGGATAGCGACGAGTGTATTCTACATGATTTTGTTTTTATCACCATATTGCAGCCATATTGGAACACAACTAATTACACAAGAGGCTAATCAGTAAATTGGCTTGTGAGTGAACGGCTGTTAATTAGCTCTTTATCAAATCGACTTTCTTTCCTTTGGTTTAATTATAGCTTTGAATGTGGTCCCTGCCCAGTATCTCTGTATGCAGTGATTGGGTCCATTCCCCTGTACAAATGAATGCATTAAAAGAAAGGAAAGTTTTTTTTTTAAAACATACAAAATTAAATAAATCACATA